GTGCGGGGCCGCGAGCCCGTTTGCCTCGGTCGGGCCCAACCGCGCGGCAGCCGCCGCAGCCGCAGCCTCTGCGCGGCGGCAGGGCGGCGGCCCGCCGCCCCCGCGGCGTGCGCCGAGCCAGCAGCACCCGCAGCACTGGCCGCCGCCGCCGCACCACCACCTGCCGCCGGGCGCGTTCTGGGCGCCGCCGTACGCGGTGCCGATCCCCATCCCTCTGCCCCGCGGGCACCCGGCCGCGGCGCACTGGGCCCCGGCTGGCCCAGTCGCGCCTGCCGGCGCCTTTGGCGGGCCCCCTCAATTCAATGTTCGCGACGTGCTGCCTCACTCCGTTTGATTCAGCGCTGGCGAAGGTCGGCCGCTTTTGCGTGTTCACATTTGCCATCGTCCTCTATGCCGAATGCGACGGTGGCTGGCCCCCAATGCAACCCAAAACGTCGCGAGCGGCGCACCTGCCACGCGAGAGCGTTGCCCAAATGAAAGCTGCCCAAACACGTGCCCTCTTCTGACGCCTTCCCTCAGGCATCTGACAGTGCCTGTTCTTTGCTGCCTGCGACCACCTTGACAATACCGTAGCCAGCTGCATGGCTCCTGCGAGGGCGGCGGGACGGGGGTCGCTGCCGCGGGTCCCAGGCGTGCAATGGGACTTCTCACTTGTGGGTTTGTTACCGCCGGGCAGCGGCCCCTCTGCTGCAAAAGCAGGAAGCAGGGCCTTTGTCCAGCGAGCGTCGTTTGCAGGTTTGTGGATTCGAACTCTACTAGAGTGCGCGGTGCCCCTGTGCCCGCAGGAGCGCGGCTCGGGCTGTGGGGTTGGCGGTGCAATCATGCAAATGGCCGGCGAGAGTGTCGACGTCAAAAAGGAGGCCGGGAAGGCACGAGTCAGAAAGCACTCGGCGGGCCAGCCCCATCAACCTGCATTTAGCGGGGGGACCACGGGCGCGCCCCTTGACCGGCAACGGTCGGGGCTGAGCGGTGCGACGAAACGAAACGACCAGGGGCGCCAGCGACAGGCGGCGCATGACAAGAAGAGAGCAAGAAACTTGAGCACAAAACTTGGCGCGGGAGAGACGGACAAACAGAGAACTTTGGGGGGGGGGGGTGAGAAAGGCATATACAAAGGGGCTAGGCAGACGGGGCCGACACAGTAGGCAACTAAGGCGAGGGCGCGGCCGTTGCGTCCGTGAAGGCCTGGGGCTGATGCGTCTTCCATGGGGCAGCGCCCTCCATCAGCGACGCCGCCCGCCGCGATTGGCAGGAGCGCAGGTGGCCCGAGGCGCGGCCCACCCCTGCTGTCCCACTGGGCGCGGCGCCGCCTTCCTCCGCGTCGCAGCGCTCAGTCGCTGTCGCTGCCGCCCTTCTTCTCCTGCAGGGCCCAAAACAAGACACACGGTTGCCGCTGGTTCAGGGGCGGCCGGGCACGTTTTCAAGAGGGCTCGCACCGTGCAGGTAGCCATCAACACGGCTCATCTGCATGCAAGGGCTGCAATAGGCGAGGCGGCACAACCGACATCAGCATCACAACAGCACGATCATGCTGACTCAGCAACCCCCTCTGGCAGCTGCCGCGCACCTTCTTGTCCTTCTTCTTCTCCTTCTTCTCCTTCTTTTCCTGCGGGCAGCATGGCACGCAAGACAGCAAGCAGTCAGCACAAAAAGCCCGACGCTGTCGGCCCTTCCCACTCCTGTTCTGAACTGCCCGGGGTGCGCGGCACCGTGCGTCGGCACGGCAGATCCCGCCTCGCCCCAGTGGTAAGCACGGCGGCCGCAGTCCGCCGGCCGCCGCCGCCTGGCGACCCCTCACCGCCAGCTGCCCACCGCCGCAACCCCCAAAGCCCCCCAAGCCCACTGGACCCACCTTCTTCTCCTTCTTGGCCTTCTTGGCCGACGCCTCCCCGTCCGCCTCGGCAGCCTCCCCGTTCTCCTCGCCCTCGTGCTTGCGCTTCTTATCCTTCTTCTCCTATGATTAAGGCACAGCACCGCAGCACCAGCACAGGCGTCAGGACGGCGGACAACCCGTGGGCTGCGCCGCAGTTTCCCCGGGACCCTGCCGCGCCGAGGCCAAAGATATGGGCCGCACTGTGCAGCCCCTTCAAGCTTGCAACCTGCACATCCCTGCAAATCTCCTCCCTCCCCACACCACTAGCAAGTTTTCGACCCCCACAAGAATGCACCCCCCGCACCTTCTTCTCCTTCTTTGCGCTCCCGGGCTCCGCCGCCGCGGCCGCCGCCTCAGCCCCCTCCTCCCCCCCGCCCGCCCCCGCCGCCGCCTCCTCCTCC